TCTATTCTCGTTAACACCAGTCTGGCAGAATCAAGGACCAGAACACACAGCTCTGAAAGGCTAGATTTGATATAAATAGGAGTCTTTTCAGCCTGCACTTTAGCGAAAGTGAGGATAACTGATCTTTGCTATTCCTTTTATAACATTTCGTTCCCTCTATACATCTGTTTAGAATCCAGAATTATTAGATACCTCTGGAAAACACAAATGCACGTGCACACACACCCACACCCACACACACACCCACCTTCTTCCTGAAAGCATAGACCAGCCTGTATCCACACTTGCACTTCCTGGAAGGAAGACCACCTCTCTCTTTGTATGAAGTATAAGGTAAGCCTTACATGACAGTGTGTTATAGTTAAGAAGTTTCCAGGGCTGGCACTGTTAGGAAAGCCTGCAAACATCTGCTGTTTGGTTTCAAATTAGAGTATTTCTCCTTCACATGTATTATTGAGAACATCTCTCAGGTATGGTTTTGAGTAGCTGTGTTATTAAGTATTGAAATTCTTAGCATTTAGGTATTTCTGAAGAGGCATTTGTTATAAATTTTCATCTCCATTTTTTTATTGTTGGATTTTGTAGTTGCTACCAATTATTTCTGACAGTACAGTGTATTACCACAAGGGAAAAAAGTCATACGTTATGAGAACATCAAGTGTCAAAGAAGATTTAGAGTTAAGAGTGCTTGTTCAAAATGTAAGTTTTGTTAAACAACTGAATAAATCAAATCAAATAAAAAACAAACTACAATATATTCATTTAAAAAAAAACAGAATGTCAGTAACTAAAAAAAAATACCAAAATTGCATACAGAATCACAAATTTCTATAATCAGGCACCACATTTGTTGATTCATCAAATGTACCTTTTTGGCTTAATTCCCCCCCCCCCCCGTATTTTTCTGTAAGCAGAAACAAATCAAACGTAAAACTAATAGAAAAATGACTATTATGTAAATGATTGGCCTGAAAATGCAGTGCTTGGTTTTCTTCTAACTCCTTACTAGATTTTGTAGACTGAGATAACAAGTTTCTTTTGTTTTTCCAAACAGTGAATTTCATTACTTTGCCTTCTGCTTTCATTCACTATTATTATCCACGTCATTATCCTCCTCATCACCGTCATCATCATCATCATCACCTTCTGACAAGTCAAAATCACTGAACCCCAGGGCCATGTTGACCTTCTTCCCCCTCCTCTTAGATGTGGTTTTGGAGGAATTCTGCTTGGCTTGCATGTTTATCTGCATCCCAGAATGCAGCACAGCTCCTGCTTTGTTCATTGAGAAGATATCCCCAAAGCCCATCAGCATCATGGCCTGCAGACTGGGGTTCATGCCATGGCCCTCCCCGTTACTTGCTGCTGTGATCTGACAAGACATCTCTGCACTGTTTGACTCCTCTGTCTTAGATTCAAAGTAAGACTCCTCAGACATTCTTGCAGCAAGAGGCAAGAGAAGCTATCACAGGGAAGAAAGGACAGAAGTAAAAAGAGAAATTAGAACCAATTTAAATAAAGGAAACAGATACCACAAAATTAGTGGCTACTGCACAGAAGGTAAATGATTAGTAAAATAAACGAATGTAGGGAATGATGTGAGAACCCATTAAATAGCAGGTTTGGCTCCAGTGCATTTGTCCTAATTTATAAATGATAGAGTAAATCACAACCAAAAGTTTGCAAAGCACCACAGCAAGCCGGATTTCAAATAGAAAGAAAGTTGCAAGTTTTAAGCCTTCATTTGGCTTAAAACAAAACAGTTTTCAGATTTCTCTTAATTTTTCCCAATTTGACTATCACACAGAAACATTTAGTTAAGCATTATATTAAAAAGAAATTAAGTAGTGATTAAATTGCCAGTGAAAATCAATAAACCATGTATCAAACAAGGAAAGATTAAGGCAAGCATGAAAACAGTTCCACAGTCCATGCAGGTCTAGGGAAATCTGAGTCATTAACTACCTTTTCAGCTAGATTAGTATTTGGTTATAACTAAAAATGAGTCTAGAATTCACTTGTTTCATCTATTATTTAGTATAGCCAAATAGGATGGAACACTATTACTCAGTTTATGAGAAGTTTCACTTGGGGATAAATTCCTGATTCAGTGTCTAACATTTAAGTTATAAACAAATATACAAATACATAGGGAAATTGGGAGAAAGGGAAGGAATATTAACTTAAATTGTGACTTCTGTTCTCTACTGTGTATATTTCTTTCTGTTAGCAGAATGTTGTCCAAGAGATTCTCCTTCTCAAGATGGACATAGACATTCTCTTCTACCTTATGCAATTGTTTTGAACAGCCCACCTATTTCCATATTCATTCATTTCACATTCATTTCAGGGGTAAAGTTTTAGAATAGAAAAGTACTGCTGCCTCTTCTGAGATATAAACAAATTAAGGCTTACATCATTAATGTTGTTTAAATGTAAGTAAATTTATGATAAACAATGTACAAATGATATATTCTCTGATAACCTTTACATTCAGGGAATAACATTACTTTTTTGGGCCAATTTCCCCATTTTAAAATTGAAGTTGAAGCAGAGTCTAAAAAAATAAAATATCTCACTCTACCAAGAAAAGATCTCCAGAGTTGCTGTTTCAATAAGAATTTCATATTATTTGGCTAAAAAGTATACAGAAGAAAAAAAAAACTACTCTAAATTTTTTAACATTGGAAACTGGATGTTATTTTCCATGGAAATGTCCCAGCTTCTCAAATTTATTCTCCATTGTTAGATCCTCTCAAGAACTCTTTGTTGCCTTTTTACTGCTTCATGGATGCTATCTCACACCGCATTATATTCTTAAGATCTCAACAAATGTCTCTCTCTCAAACGAGCTTATTTGTAAAATAAACAAATTTTTCTATCAAACTACTACAAAAATTAAAAAAAAAAACAAACCTCGACAAACAGGTATGGAGAATTCACCTTTCCACCTATCTTTAACTGATGTTTTAATTTCAGGAAAGTAAATCGTGTCCTTGAAATAAATCCAACAATACAATATTTTAATGACGTTATGTATATATTAAACTTTTATAATTAAAATGAAGCTACACATAGTAAATGTAAACCTCCAGCCACCTCCTTTTTAGAGGGCTTATTTTTATCTCTCTCTAAGAAACCTCATTTAAAGCCAACTAGAAACTGATGTGAGAATGAAAGAAAACAGCTACTTATTAAATACCTGAGCACAAACTTTCTTTCCTTCAGAAATATCAGCACTAAGCAGAAGAGACATTAAAAGCAAGAACTGTCAAGAAAGAAAACTTAGCCCTGATATGGAGAAAAAGGCAGACAATCTCATCACGGTGGGCTGTGTGCTGTCCATTGTTAGGCGGAGCCCTCAGAGCGGCTCCTTCACAGAAACTTCTCTGCAGTTAAAACGCAAGCACACAACCTACTGAGCTCTCACAGTGTTTCATTATTTACTACACAACTACGTTACTCATAGCAACAACGGGCACAAGGCAGCCCATAATTTCTTAGCAAAACTAATGCCAATAAACCAAAGAAAGGTTCTAAAGCATACTTTAATAGGTAGTTTAGGCTTTTTTAAAAAAATAACGCTACCTTTAGAGTCAAGCCATGCAGTGCTTTATAGCTTAAGATTTCAATATACTCCAAAAAAAAAAAAAAACCAAAAAAAAAAAAAAAAATAAACCCCAACCCTCAGACTTCAGAAGACGTGTTCTAGGGACAAGACTGTATTTTCTGCCTCTCATGAGCTCTGAGCGTGCAGATCCGTAGGGTGATTTCTGCGTCTGTCTGTTGGTATCAATTCAACCAGAAAAGAAACTTCCCTTGACTTCTTTCTTGACAGCCAAGTTACATTCACTGAATTGATCAACTTGGTACCTTTTTAAGTGTCCCATGCCAACCAACCTCATGTGCAGCAATTCAGCTCTTACTTTGGGATTCCCTGGATAACCACTCATTTTTGGAAAAAATTGAATCTTATATTTTCCTGTTTTGGATATCGGGTTGCTTCTCCACATCCGTTGTAAATGGATGCAATCTATTTTATTCTGTAGATATTGGAAAACACTTTGTAATTGGACATTGGTTGCTTAATGGAAATTAAGACTTTTAAAAACCGAAAAGGTTTTTGAAGCTCACAAAGTGAAGAATATTTATGAATTTTAAATATATAAGTTTACTTTTAATTTATGATTAGCTGTGATTTTAAAGTGGAAAAATATAGAAACCTCAGAAAACCAATGATAAATTTATACTTAATTTTCCAAAGGATGGATCATTTAAATCAGGTAAGAATGCTGAAATTGGATTAGACTTTAATATATCATATCAGCATGTAAGCTCAAGGTTAGTGTTTAAATAGCAAAATCATTAAATAGAAATTCAATATTCCTCTAAATGCAAGACTTGGGAAAAATCAAGATAATTCCTAGGCATAGTAAATATTGGAAACTTGTTCTTTTTTCCCAATCTTTTTTTTATCCAGGATCACAACACTAAATTGGGTAAAATATATTATTGCTTATCATTTATATGTCATTTTTAATTTATATTATAGCTCTGTTTTACAAGGAAAACTTGGTAAAGTTCTGATACCTCAAAGACTTTCTCAGACAGCTAGCTGCCTTGGTATTCATTGAATAATTACTGATGAACTATAAAGAATTAATTAGCATTAGGCATATGTGCTGGAACCTAACAGATGGTGTGAAAATACATTAGACTTTATTTTTGTAATTCTAATATACAAACACACTGACAGAGTCAAAGATCTTAGGGAAAGAACCAGAAGTAGGGTAAGCTCTTCTTCTAAATTTCTGGCAACGTGTTAATTGAAATTAGTTATGAGCACTACTTGAGTATAAATGCAGGCCCTTTAATACACAGGCATAAGGCAAGAAGTGAGGAGGTGGCAGCGGGAGGAAGGCAGGAGAGTTGCCATGCTCCATGCTAAGCCAGGGCTCTAAGGGGATGGGAAGTAAGCTGACCACTTGGGGGACACTCACCGGGGTGTTTGACTGCTCAGTCAGTTTTTGCTCCCACATCTTCAGGCGTCTTTCTCGTTCTTTGAGCTCCTGCTCTTTAAAGCTGAGATCACGTTCTAGTTTCTTCAGTCTCTCAAGTGTTGCTTCAATTTCACACCTACATAGGAATAACTGTTTTAAGTCTCAGCTCTGCTCAAGAGTTACTAAATACTTACTGGGTCATTCAGGATGCTAATCAAAGTTAAAGGCTAAAATTTGTAATTAAACTTTTTTTTAAAGATTATGTTTATTGTGGTAACACTGATTTACAGCACTGTATGTTTTAGGTGTAGAGGTTCATTCCTTGACAAATGTAAGTTATCACACCACGCCTACCATCACAGCACCAATAATCCTCCACTGATAGACCACTGGGTCCCCCTCCCCTCTGTGTTCCCCAACCTCCTTTTCTAGACGGTTTGTTTAAAAAACTACAATGAAACACACAATTCAAGGACTCTTCTTAAGAGTTCATGATTCAGTAGGGCTGAGTGGAACCCAGATTTTCTAGTAATTAGTAAAGGAATTCCAGGTAAATTTAAAGTGTCAGAAATCCTGAGTCAGATGATCTCTAGCATTCTAAGTTAAATTAAGGTTTAATTCTAATCATTTTATTTTATTTTTTAAGATTTATTTATTTATGCATACAAGAGCTGGGGTACAAGCCAGAGATGTGGGGGGGTGAGAGGATTTACCAGAGACAGAGTGGGGAACAGAACAGGCAGATTGACCGAAGTACACTGCTGAGTGGAGCAGCGGGCAAGTTAGGAGAGGTCTGCTGCGCCATGTGGGTTGCTCCCTGGTGGGCCGAGGATCGAATTCGAATTAGTGCTGCAGAGGCTGCGGAGCTGCGGATTGCTTCAACGTGCTGTGCTTAACCCCTTGCACTACCAGGGAGGTCCTAATTCTAATCATTTTAAAAGGTGTTTGTTTCCCTCCTTAGTCTCTATAGGCTGAGTAACCTCACAAGGTGGAACAGTATGTGCAGTTATAAAAAAAATGCCCTTTATACCACACAATGAACTGAAAGTAGTAAGAGGGCTCAGCATGAATTTTTCTGTCACCAAGTTAAATTTATGTTTTGGAAACTGTAAGCTCTTTCTCTGTAGTGTCTGAAGAGCCCCTGAGAAAAGCAACACTAACGAGAAAGACAGCAAGAGAACTAGAGAGAGGGAGAGGGAGAGAAAGAGAGGCAGAGCGCAGGGGAAGGAAGGGCTGGTGGAGGCACACAGAGAAGAAGGCAGAAGGAAGAAACTGGAAACAGGTGGCTGTTGTAGGCTAGCAACTGAGAGGTGCCAACAGCAGCTCTCAGGTCCCCTGAGTCAAACCTGCATTACTGGCTGCATGCATCTGGCTGAGACCTTAACTGTGGGCAGGAGCCCACAGATTTAAATTAATATATGTAATAAAAGGACATCTTTTTATTTCCAGGGAAAATCAAGATAAATAGACAGGTTATTCCAATGTCCGTGTAGAAGAAAACTAAGAGGATGAAAACAAGAAGGCTCTGGGTGTTAACTAGCTAAACCCAATTCAGGGGGCGCTATTGAGTCTGGACCGAACACTGTACTGGATATCTAAAAAGTACCTCAGGGCAAGGGAAGTAGGTAAGCGTAAAGGTATCTGCTGTCAGCCCTGTCTCTTTTATTGGTGCCATTGGAAAATTATAAAATAATATGTCATATTACAGTCCCTAAAGAAAGGAACTAAATCAGCAATCTTTCAGAATAATGTCAAACCCAAATTTTATCCCTGGTATTTCTTACAACAATTTTATGCCGTTGGAAAGTTTATGTCTGATTTTTCAAATGGAGGATTCAGAATGAAAGGAGCCATTTCCAGTAAGGACTAGGAGGCGAAAGGAGGAGCAGAGCGGGCTGGGCCGCCGCCGACGTGTTGCTTCTGCCAACCATGTCTCAACTCTCCTGCCAGGGATACTGAGCTCACTGGTGTTCTTTTTGATCATGGTAAATGGCCAACACATTCAATTTCACTTGTGATTTAAGCCAAGGATTCATCTTGAGTTCCAGCTCTGGGAGCCCACTGTGATTTTGAGCCCTTCTGGAAAACAGATCAACACTTAAGCAAGCCGAAAGCTGTGACACAGAAAAAGCCACTGACTGAGTAAATAGGCTCCCTCAAGCTGCCTCTTCAGGCCTAGTTTCCCAACACTGCTCCCCCAGATGCTCAGGGACCTGACTGCAGTGTTGGAGGTGATGTGCCACTGAGAGATTAACCCAGTTCTGGAGGTCAACACAGAGGTGGCTACTCCCTGTTGTTCCTTCTCCTTAGTTTTTGTGATGCCTTGTTTTGCCTTAAATGCATCTGTTGGTGCATTTACATCACCCTTTTGTTCTACAAAATGCAGTTTAAGTGGTTTAGTTGATGAAAAAGAAGGGTTTTGTTAGGTCACTGCATTTAAAATTTTTTTTTTTAAATTTTGGAGTTACAGTTTTGCTCTCCCTCATGTGCTTGTGTTCCGCTCACCCTTCACTAAACTACTGGTGCTAACACAACCCCTTATGTCTCCCTCCCTCACATCCCCTCTAGTAACCAATAAATTCCTTCACAAAGTCCAAGATTTACTCCTGCTGCATTTGGCCTCTGTATGTTTTTTTGGTTCTAGTCCACAGATGAGTGAAATCATCTGATAGCTTTCCCTTCCTGACTTATCCAACCAAAGTTGACCTTCAACAAGTATCAATTTTCTGTGTGCAAAATACTAACAATGAGCTGTAGTTATCGTCTTTCATTAGACAGACTTCCTTCAAAATAAAAGTTCATTTGTTAACAAGGATGTAAAACAATGGCACTTCATTAAAAAAAATTGAAAATCAATCAATCAATCAAATGCCAATTTGGTAAAAACAGCGATATCATGTATATGATATGAGAGATATATAGTAGTTATATTAAATTTACTATTCCATATTAAATGATTTGTGCTAATATCCAAATTGCAAATGTGAACTTTTTTTTATTTTTTTTTTAAGGAAGACATGTTGCTGTGACAGTATTTTGGTCACCAAGAAAGAACACAGCCAACGAAATGCTTGTCAAGAGACACAGGTGTCATGCTCCACCATAGCACCGGGTGCCCACTCAGGGAAGGCTCCTCAGGTCTGTGCATGGTCATGTGGGGTAGGGACGACACAACGTAACTGACGGGATGATACATTTTCCACTCTGAATGCTCACCACCTTTATTGCCAGATCCCCAGAGAGAGACAAGCTGAAGACACAGAAAGCAGGGAGGGTCTGATGTTAGGTTTCTTACATATCATTTATCAGGTCAAAGGAAAGAAGAGAATTTGTGTGGTTTTTAATAACTTAGCTTTAAAGGAATTTTCCATATAGTCATTACATTCTCTGAAACGAAGTGCTCCATCTGGTCTATGTGTAGAGGAGGCTCTACTAGAAAACAAGCATTAGCCAGAAACACCAGAGCAGGACTGGAATCAGACTACACGAGTCAATGGCTTCAGACACCAAACACAGTCAGGACAAATAGAGGAGCAGTCGGAATGTCTTGTCCTTGGAAATATCCAGATGAGCCGACAAGACATTTGATTCTTTTCAGCACGTGGCATATTGAGTGACACAGTGGTTTTGCCCTAATAACCTAAAATGATCAAGCCCTGTAATATTTTCCGTCACTAAAACAGAATGTGGTCAAGGGAACAGTGCTTGCTGATGAGTGGGTGGCATATGGCACCAGCCACAAGTCCAGCGAGGAATGGCGCAGCACATGAGCCACCCAGGTCTATGACCCAGACCCGCCGGGCTCCACCAGGGTTCTGCCTTGCATGACCTAGGCAGGTATCCGACCTGCTCAGACCTTGGTTTTTGCATCCATGATATAATTTAGGGCCGCCATGTGGATTAAAAAAGATAATCTAGGGCCTCCCCAGTGGTGCAGCGGTTGAGTGCTGGGTGCGAAGCTGCCTGCAGCCTCTGCGTGCCAGTTCAATCCCCGGCCTATGGGCGAGGGTCCCACATGGCGCGTAGACCTCTCCTGCTGCCCGCTGCTCCCCTCAACAGTGTACTTCGGTCCTTCTGCCTGTTCTGCTCTCCCCTCTGGCTCTGGTGAATTCTCTCACCCTCCCGCGCTTCTGACTGTACCCAGTGCTTGTATAAATAAATAAATAAATCTTAAAAAAAAAAAAAAAGATAATCTAAAAAAAGTACAAGCATCCGGTAGGAACATAATATATTACAGCTGTGCTGTGCTCCCTGATATTATTGCAGTCAATATTATTATTCTTCCCCATGTTTTCAACCAGCTGTCAAGTTTAGTTAAAACAATTCTGCTGCTTCTCAAACTGTGGTTTAGGGGTTCAGGGAAAGATCTATCAATATCTTCTCTTTCCAGCTCTCAGGATTAACTAGTTCCTGAAAGACAGCCATATAGGGGGAAAAAGATTTTAACAGGATGACATTGGTCCTGCCAATTCATTTGTGATGGTTATTGCTTTTGCCATAAGAAGGCTTTACAATTTTATTTGGAAACTTTACAACTTTCTATTTTCATATTTCATTGACATATTTTAAAAGACACCCTATTTCAGGGCCTCCCCGGTGGCACAGCAGTTGAGCGCTGGGCTGCGAAGCTGCCCGCAGCCTCTGCAGCACCGGTTTGATCCCCGGCCGGCGGTGAGAGTCCCACATGGCGCACAGACCTCTCCTGCCACCCACTGCTCCCCTCAGCAGTGTACTTCATCGGTCTGCCTGTTCTACTCTCTGCTCTGACTCTGGTGAATTCTCTCACCCTCCCGCGCTTCTGACTGTACCCAGTGCTTGTATAAACAAACAAACAAACAAACAAAACAAATAAATAAATCTTTTTAAAAAAAAGACACCCTATTTCAATTATATTGAGTCATCCTCAAATCCACCTGATCCTTTAGATAGAGGATTAAATAGCCTTTCAGAAGAATCGTCCTTTATATCATCTCCTCAGACTACATTAGATTCCATGTTTATATACTCAGACATCCACACCCACTGTCATAACACTTATTAAAATAGTAATGAAGTCGTTATGAGTAAGTTTATATTTAGTAGTAACGGTGAACATTGCAAGCGCGCTGAGAACCTTCTGCCTCATCACCACACCCAATACCTAGAAGGCACCTGGCCCCAGCAGAGGCTCAGGGAATATCTGAATGAATGAATGAATGAATTAAAGAAACACAGGCATCACTGCCAACAAATCACCTTATATAGTCACATTCTCTTGTGTGTAATATCATAATGTCTTTTCACATTGTTATGACCACAGTGTTGCCTTCCCCAAATATTTCTTGAGCAACTGCTGGTTCAAGGCCCCTTCTGGGTGCCACAGTTACAGTGATGAACAAAGGAGATTATCTGACTCTTTATATTTTAGCCAGTGAGATACACATTAAAGGAAAAGCTATAGAACTGCTTATTAATCCAGCAGCAATAGTGGCTACAAAGGAGATGCTGTCAGACCACACAGGGCAGAACCTCATCTGGTCTGGAGTCAGGAGACACTTCTGGGGACATGTTATTGCAGCTATCTGAATGACACATAGGAGCTAAGATTGGGTGTGGGTATCAGGGGTGGTGTGCCCTTAAACGGAATGAGTACTAAACAGAAGAAACCACAATTGCCAGGATTCTGAGTAAGGAAAAAAATATGCATTTTTTTGAGGGTCCTAAAGGCAGAATTTAAGGGATGGAATGATGCCGTGAAAATGAGGCTGTTGAGGCCAGAGCACAGAAGGTCTCACGAGTTTTAAATATTTTAGGTTTTGTCCTAATAGTGCAGATATATGGATTTTAAATGGGAGTGATCTGATTAAATGTGTTGATTTTTTATAGTAGGAGAAAAAATATTACACACACGTTTGTTATGTTCATTATTTCAGTCTACAACAAAGTCACTCATACCTAGATCAGAGAATATAGTAGTTTTTTTTTATCCCTATATAAAAATTCAATCAACTCACTTGCCCTAGATAGATATTTCACAGAATAAAAATAAATAAGGTTATTGTAAAACACCAATCAACCAGTAAGTTCAGAGAAATGCCTAATGACAGCAGTAAACAAGTCAGTCCTATTTTCAAGGTGCATGCAGTTTTCATTTGGCAACAGCAGGTGGCGTAAGGAGTCATGTTACACCACCCCGACCAGGAGCAGAGATGAAGTTACTCAAATCTCTGCTGAGTCAGGGAGGAATAATGTCAGCTCCCAAACATGCTATTTATATTAGTGCATCACGTGACCTGGCTCAAATATCTCATCCCAGGTTTACTTCTTCCACTCATACAATACAATTGTCTCATTACAAAGTTTGTTTTACAATTGACAAAATCTAACAGGATTTATGACACCAAAACTTTCCTTTTAAAAGTGTTTTGGTTGTCTCCCTGCCTCCCCACCAATAGATACAGTGCTCTGCAAATGTCAAGGGAAAAAGCATTTTTATTTCTCACCAGACAGAGGCCGAAGCTTCCTAACATAGTATGTACAGAGAAATGTCTGGGAACTGTCTCTTGTCTCAGAAGATAGGATTTCAATATTCTTTCCAAATGCTTAGACATAGGATAAGGCAACAAAGCTTAGAGCAACACTCTTTTCTGCTTAACTATGAAATGGAGGACTTACTAGATCTCCAAAAATCTTTAAAACAAAAAAAACAATTTTTATACCATGCTTAGAAATCAGGACTATCATTAAGCTCTTTGGTTCTTGTCTGTACTGCAACTAGCCATGGGTCCCACAAAGTCAGGACACAGGACCCCAGGGGAGGCCCGCCTACCTCCACTCTGCCTTGTTATGCAGGAATGAGTTACACTGGTCAGGAAGGTTAGTGTCATTTGACATGGACTCCAGAATTGAAATGATTTGCTTGAAAGACGGTCGTTTCTGAAGAGAAAATAAACAGTCACTTGTCAGGACTTAAAGTAGAATATAAAAGAAAATCCACAAACATAGTAATTAGCTCACCAGAACAAAATGAAATATGATATACAATGTCCTGACTTACACCTTTCAGATCACTCTGGATTAGGGAAACATATTCTTTATTTTCAGTCAACTATTCAAAGGAAAAAACTGACATTTTTCTAACATGCAGTTTAATGTTGTAAAAATAACAGTTTTTCTTCCAGGAAGAAAAGTATTAATTCTCTCTTTGACATATGATTAGGAGTCCTAAAAAGTTAAATTATTTAAAAACCTAACTATGGGTTAAAGAAAGTGTTGTAGAAGGCAAGTAGTAGAGTCTGGATGGGCAGATCAACATTCACTGTAGAATATGTCAACTTTTCTGTATGTTTTAAACATTTTATACTAAAATGTTAGGGGGAAATTTACTTATTAATATCAGAACTAATAAAATTTCCTAAGCCAGTCGTCAGAAAAAATTCTCCAATTTTAAGGCCATCATAACTTCATTGTTCTGAATGTTTATTTCACATTACAATGAGATCGGTGCTGGAACACTGTAAGGAACTGTTTACTAGACACTAAAAAGCAGTGGCTCCCCGCTTCTCCTTAACTAGCAGTAACTACACCAGCCTATCTGCTTAGGTTCTAGCCAAGGTTAAGACAAAAGGTTATAGCCGAAATGGAGAAAGATAATAAAAGGATGATGCACAGTCTCTCTTCATCATGCCTCATAATTACACCATTTTGGAACAAATTACAGTTGCTGTAATTAAAACATGCATTTTAATTTAGGAGCACAAAAACAAGAAGGAACAATGTTGAGGTGGCTTGCTCTCAGGACTTGAGTTCTTCCTACGCTATATTTCTCAGGAATATAAAACTGAGATATTTATTCTGAGTTCTGTCACGATTATACTTTTCTAAGGACACACATACACATGTGCAGCCGTGGATGTGTGTTTTTTTTAAAAAGAGGGCGTAGGTCGCTAAATTCTGTGCTGTGTATTAAGTGTTCTAATAAACAAAGGAAAATGCCTTACATAGGAAATTTGGAAAATATTCTGTCTTCTTTTGACTTAGTTCCCATTTTAATTTCTGCCACAAAGGCCAGGTTGCAAAAAGAAAAATGTTTTAATCATTTGCATAGGAAGTAATTATACAACAAATAAAGGATTTTCATTCTGCATGGAAAAGCAGCAGGAGGACTTGATGAATTTTTATAGAAAAATGTTTTTCCTCCACATTTAATCATTCTTCAAATAAGGTGAAACTCTTCTGTAATTGGATGGCAATCATCCTTAGAAAAGAGACCTTAATTCTATAGTTAGAATATATAGTTAGAAGTGATCAAAGTGAACATTTAAAAAGCAACAACCCTGCAGAATTTTGTGGCAAGAATATTTTGTGAGGATTCCAGTTCCAGAACACAGCATTTGGTCTTGGATCGTATGGAAGTCCCTCTGAAGGGAGTAGGTCCCTGTTAGGTTTTATGTGGGGTTTACCTACTTAAAAAGCCATGGCAGGACAATTTATTAAGCATCTATATACATTATTTCTATATTTGTTATCTTCATCTTATACATAAGGAAAGTCAGTCTTGGGAAAGTATTAATTGTGTGGTATCACACAGATGGCAAGTTACAGACACCAGGAATATGACCTAAAGCTTTCAAAATATATTATCACATGAAGATAAATACCACTTCCTATCACAATTATGATTTTAGTTCCTTTTTTCACTATTTAGAAATGTCAGTGTAGGATGAACCAATACCCATCTTTACTCCCTTCTTTTCTTAATAAAATATTCTGAGTACCTGATATAAGTCACTGACAAATGATCTGACATTTACCTAATACCAACTTGTAAACATTTCCCCCCCTTACTCAAAAATATATTTCTAAAAGTGAGCTGAATACTTTAATCTATGTGTTAATACTCTAAAGTGTAAGGGCTGGAAACAAAAAGAAAATATTTTAACTATTTTTGTTCTATATATGTGCATAGGCCAGGCATGAACTTCCAGTTGACCGATCACATACTATAGCTGGAGACTGAAATGGAGACTCTCGTGAAGTAGATCTTTGCCTGATTAGTTCAGTTAACAGTAAAGTGGGCATTTTACTTACTAAGTTTATGTAAGGTGCTTAGGGAGACACTCACAAGGACTACTACTATTCACTCATAGAGCTTGTGGTTCATTTAGGAAGAAAAGATGTTTCTGAAAACAAGGTAAGGCAGTAGCCTAGACTGTGGTTTAGGAAAAAGGTCCTAAGTATGGGCAAGGGCAGACCCCAGGAAGGCTTGATGATGATGGGGGGAGGGACACGAAGAAAAGAAGGAAGAGAGTACCAGGAGGGAATGGAGGGCTACGAGGTGTGTCTGGAGGAGATCAGCATTGAACCAGCGGGTATGTGGGTGCAGCTTGGTATGCCATCACCTCAGATATGGGGGACATGTATTCGTTTTTTATTAGAACAAAATGTCATAAATTTAGGCACCAAAAACAATTTAAAACTTTCTCTATACTTCACTTGGCAAGAATACAAGATTCCTTTGGTCAGCTGACCCCTTGTGTTAGCATGATAAAACATGTTTTTTTTTTAAAGATTTATTTATTTATGCATACAAGAACTGGGGTACAGGCCAGAGCTATGGCGGGGGGTAGGGGGAATGGGAAGATTCACCAGAGACAGATGGGGAACAGAACAGGCAGACTGACTGAAGTACACTGCTGAGGGGAGCAGTGGGCGAGTCAGGAGAGGTCTGCTACATCATGTGGGTAGCTCCCTGGCTGGGGATCGAACTCATGCTGCAGTGGCTGCAGATAGCTTCATAGGTTGTGTCTTAACCCCTTGTGCCACTAGGGAGGCCCCAACATGATAAAACATGTTAACATGCCAAACTTCATGGCCTCAACGCTGGGCCTAATATACTAGGTGTTTACACCATCTTAATTAATCCACTATCAATGTATGTTCTTAGAATTTTAATTAATGTGGTGCAGAGTTTCTGATTAAGAAATTAAAAACCTGCTTTGCATTCTGAAATATAATCACAATGCTAGAGATCTAGTTGTACCAATGCAAATAATTTCAGGTGAAATTTCTTTTTAAGTGTCGGAGAGAAAAGTACTGCCAAAATGACTGTTTATGCCACAAGGGACACATAACTGCAGGAAAGAGCACAGAAAGGGTGTCAGAGCATTCGGCAGGATGTCCTGGAGAAAGTCGGCAAATAGAAGCTTACAGTTTCCACTAGGTTAGTTGCTTTGGGCAGGCATTTCTCTTCACGCTTAAAAAAATCCCCATATTCTGCATAATCACATACTAAAACAAAAAGGTCTAAAGAGACAACTAAACATCTACACAAAATTGTCATAAAATACTAAAAAAAAAAAACCCAACAAATATTAACATTTAAAAATGTGAAGTTCTTTAATAAAAAAAATACTAAGTAAATATAGGACTTTACACTTAAGAAGAGTGAAGGTAATTTTATGAACAGGAGTGATAGCAAAGGTTGAAGCTGCTGATTATGAGGCCAATATAAAATGTACAAAGCTGGGCAGAACTAACATTAAATTTCCAAAACAAAGTGCTGGCCGGTCAAACCAACAGGGAGTGCGTGGGGCACGGGGCACAGGAGCCACTGCCGCCAGGGTTGGCTGTGCTATTGTACGAGAGAAACACACTGAAGAAGACTACATGCTGTCATTAATTCTTCTTGGGGCGGGGGGGGGGGGGAGTTCTGAGGAGAACTGGTTTAAGTTAAGAAAGAAATTTCATTCCTAATTTTTTTCTTCTTAGATCTCTATTTAAAAGATCAGTTTGTAACATATATATATTTCTATAAAAAACTGGACAGATTTCAACAATTTTAGGTTTTTTTTCTTGAATGTAATTCTCTCTTATTCTAATGTTTAATCTGTAAAGGCCTCTTTTACTTTTTAACTTTTCATTATATGAACCTCCACATACCTATCATTCAGCCTCAAAAATTATTATGGCCAATCTTGTTTAACCTCTGCCGTCATCCATTTCCCTTTATTTTATTTTGAAGCAAATTCAAGACTAGCCTATCATTTTATCTATAAATATTTCCATACGAATGTGAGAGTCTTAAAATGATCTTTGCAGGGAAAGGAAATGGGCTCAAATGTGATAACCACATGAAAGCCTAAGTTTTGGGATTTTTCCAACTCCACTGCAATAGCCTACAAAACAGCAATGAAGAGTTTCTAGGGAGCAAGATAAGCAGTTGTCAAGGGGAAGCCTGAACAGCCAACCCGGGGCTCACGCCAGCCATGCAACGCATGGATTTTATCAGCCCAGGTTTTAAAAACCCAAAGTCAAGCAAGCAAGGAGAACTTCAGAATTCTGAATACAACAAACAAACAAATATATACATACCTTGGCATCAGCTTCCCAGCATTCATGTAAGAGTTCAGCAAAACTTCTGGGGCAGCTGCTTGGAATGGTTAATCTCTATACAACCAAGAAGAAAAACAACACACCAGGGTTTACTCATGAAGGTAAGCAAAAACTAACTGAAAGCTCATAGGAGTTAATTTATGATCATAAACAGGACATTACATTTAAGGCCTACACTGATTAATAAATGATGGGTGAAAATTTATATTTTGATTCACAATATTTAATTGTTAAAGTTGCTTATACAGTTCCTCCAAAGAGGAGTCACAGTAATGGAGAGGTTCAACACAATAAATGCAATAAAAAGAGTCAACTCTAAAAGAAATTACAGCAGGAGAAAGGCAAATAACTGAAACACTAAATGTAAAACCAGCAATCTATCACTGAACTTTTATAGGTAACTATGAAATACACAAATAGGCAACAAGGAAACCTATTCAGCTTGGGCAGCAAGTATACAAGGCAGAGAACATCTTCATCATCAATGATCATGGAGACCATTTTAAAGAGATGTGCATTTTATCACTGGTAAATGAGACAATTTGAATGTATGACCGAATATAGCTTAGTGTTGGTCAAACCCATAGACTGTAATAACCTGATACACCAACGACTATATGTACAGCCATCCTGTTCTAACACTCTATAGTAGCAGTTCTCATAGAACATGAAATGCCCCTAGTGGCTGTTGAGAGTGAGAAATCTTCTAAGGCATTTTTGTTTATTATAAAGACTGGAGGGAAGCACCTGGAGGCAGTCAAGAACATCAGATCCTGAAACATATCCTAAAGCCTGAACTCTTACTCTTCACCAAAATTCAAATGCCCCATTCAGCTGAGCAAAGCAAACAATGAGGTTTATAAATTTTTGACCCTACACTCTAACTCTGATTCACAAACAGAAAGTATTTTTTGAAATGCCCTGAACTTTCCAAGAATTCAAGCAGGTGTTTACTTTTTAAAAAACATTAGATGGTTGCAGTGGGGACATAAAACGAAGAGTAAGTGCCATTATGCAGCTGACTATACAGCACTTGCAACTCAAAATAATTTTCCATAAAGGGTAATATTTTCAATACAACTTTTAAAAAGATTTTTCCAATAATTGAAGTGTGAAGTGGATGGGTATGGATGTTGATCGTTTCTATCATCTTTTCCTACTGACAAACATTTAGATACCACATCTGGGACATTATACAAGGAGACATAATTATTTTAAATTACCTGATATGGTCAAATATTAGTTAAATCCCCACTCAGACACTTTATAAAATGGATTATTTTGTGCATTAAATAAAGACTTTCAAATAGAATCTAAAATACTTAAATTTCTATTATATAAATGTGGGCCATCCTCATGCACTAAGACATTCTGAAATAACCAGATATGAGTACTTAAATATTACTTAAAACTTAAATAATTTAAAGTAAAACAGATTCAAATTTAAAATTGAAATATATCCCAACCACTAAAGCAGGCATGGCATTTTTTAAAGGTCATATACCTTTTGTACCATTTTCTACATAAGATGCAAGAATTACTTTCTAAGTTAATTTTTTCCCTAAAGTATAGTCAACAACAATGGAGTATTTTGAGGATTTCTATGTTAATCAAGAAGAGTAGTCTTACTACTTAAAAAAATACATTTTCTTGAGAATGTAAGTTATAACAAGACAGACATTATGCTGCTATAACATTCTGAATGACCACTAACTGAGTTTTCAGGCCAATATCTGTTACATTTAGAACATGTATTAGAAATGCCCTCTTAAATTCATTCCTTCTAGAATGTTCATTGTTAGCTTTGTACATTTAACAGTGCTTTATGGATCTAGTTTTAAATTTAATATTAACAAAAGTAATTGTCTAATGGTCATATTTCATTATTAAGGGCTGAGAAGCAAAGATCTGCAAATAGAAATTTTAGAAAATATTGATCTTCCCACAGGCACATAGAACAATTCTAAATTATGAAACTGGGTAGATCTAGAGTTAAAGTAATGTGTCAAGGTCAACATTTTGGTTTTGATATTACACTTTTTCTTTATGTCAACAGTGGAGGAAGCTAGGTGAAGGTTACAGAGAATTTTGTGTATAATCTTTGCCACTTTCTATGGGTCTATAATTTTTTCAGGATAAAAGGTTAAAAAAAGAGTAGCCCTGATATTTGAATTAGGGACATTCTAGGGTTAACAGCTCACACTTAAAATGTGTTCCTAAAAGTTTAAACATATCATTCTTCATTTAAATGAAGCCTGTGAGCCTGTGAAAAAAAATAAAGCTTTCTCTTCTCAACTCAATAACCCAAATTATTCCAAAGTAAAAATAAACAAAATAAATGATTAGAAGTTGACAGGATTTTACAAATTATGTGTGAGTCAAGGTCTGAATTTTATTGTGAAATAAAATAAATCCTAGGGAATTCTTTTAATGCTATGTCAACAAAATTTGTTATAGTAAATTTGTGATACAACATGACATCACCTTCTTGACTGAAAACAAAGGACACTAAACTTAAACTTAATTTCTATATTTCTGACAAGTATTGGCAGAATGGAAATAAGTGAATGTCCAACTTTCCTTAAGTTTATTAAAAAGTTGAGGAAATTTATTTTACCATGTGAATTTCTTTCAACTTACTCTTATTTTTAATAAACATAATATGGAATGTCTTTGAGCAATCTCTCTCAGTTACCAGCTAGTCATCAGCTCTCACTATGAAGAAAAGAGTACACTCTAAGGATTGGGGAGAAGCAGGTGGTAGCCCTCTCGCGCTGAGGAGGTTCTGAAGGTGACTTCTGGGTGATTCCCACACCTCAAGTCAACTAACCAAAGGCAGCTTCTAAATTCATTTTTCTCTTCAGCTTTTAAAATCCTTGTCAGCTACTCCACTGTTTTGAAAGTACTTTAGATTCACACCTATTCTGGGATCCTTTTGATGAGATATTATTTTAAAAATATTATTCTGTCTCCTCTATATATCTAGAGGGCCCAGTTAGCTTTTAAAACAAGTTTCTTGTAGTTTCTTTTAAAACGATGTAGAGGGAAAAGATAACATGGATTGCTCTGCTCTAAAGTCAACAGGAGGTCAATAACTTTCTTTATTTTCATTTGTAAACCAAAAGCCAAATATCTAATCATATCACTGGCAAAAGAAACAGAACAGAAACAAGTAGGTTGTCACATTGTGAAAATATCAGTCAATCTGTGTGTGAGATCTGATTTAACAGCACACCAGGAATTACAATCATATTTAATTAAAACAGAACAGTTCCTGTGAAACAATGAGAAAAACACATTCTCAAATAACTTCCTTTCATCTCTCTTAAATAGGCAGCTCTCTCCCATCAAGTTCAGCTCTCATGTACATTTCACCCATTTTCAACAGCTCAGGAGGACAAATTAATAAAGTAACTCTGGATTATGTGATCTAAAAGACAGACTTGGTTTCTCTTAGTCAATAGCAGCTTTTTGATTAATGGAGTGTGTTCTGCACTCATTTGGGGAGATCAGTCCAATTCTTTTAAAGCATTAAAAAGGGAAATAGTTCTATATATTCCCCTATTTTGAAAATTATTTTATCCTAAGGTTGCAATCTTACCCTGTGTAGAGGGCACAGCTAAGATTTGGAAATGAAGAAGTTTTGTGAAATAGAGTTGTTTTGCATTGCAAAGACAACTGCGTGATTCCATTACATGATCTAAGTTCTCATAATACCTTGATATTGAACGCTTCATCCTTATGCTGAGAATTTCCATGGCTGTGCGTTTCAGTCACAATTTTAAACCTTTCAAAATGTAGTTGCTCTCTTTGATATGAATGTACCATGTTCTCTGATGTAGGCTCATAGGTCCAACTAACTGAAAGCCTCAATTTGTGGGAAGAAGAAAAGCGAGGCTGGGGACACAGCACAAACGGTGTTTACGCCACTGAAGTCCTTTTGAAATGGAAAGGCTCTGCATGAAGAAGTGAGCAGTTACGCCACTGCCTCGCCAATTCCAGTGAGGAGCTCATCTTCAATGTAGTGTTCAACGTAGGTGGCAAAACTGTAATTTTTCCCTTTTTTGAAACTATTTTTTCTTCTTTTATTTTTGAAATTCTCATCTAAGCGACAGTTTCTTGTACTATAGTGACTCCTGCTGGGAGAGGTAAGTTGAAGTAGCTGAAGGTCTCTTACAGATATATCAACTCCCGGCCAGTAAAAAAGATGTCCTAAACGCAGGAGATGGAGTTAAACTGTTCCCCTACCTTGGACGCAATGGCTTCTTTCATCACTAAGAACAAACCCCTAGGTTTTACAATTGAGACTGAGAAACTAGTACAGTACTTGTACAATTTTTGATCTACAGCATCACGACGTGAAGCTGCAACAATTAGATGTAAAGGGTCCATTCATGAGGAATAACATCACTTTGACCCTTTGTGTTAGCTCCTACTGCTAATCTTTCCATAAGCGTGAACTTACTTTCAATTTGAAGAAGATGAAAAAGTCTTTTGCAAAACCCCAATACTGTTTTCTGATCTATGTACCTGAATGGAGAATCGGAGTCTTACCTCGTTTTTTTCCACTACAAGCCAAGCTACTTGTAATCCTTCCAAACCTTTAAAGGGGACCTCCCTTGTTAGCATCTCCCAGAGAACCTGGAACAAAAGAAAATGGAATTTTTATTCTTGTACTTTATATTTTTGGTATATTACTGAAACTTTATCTAACATTTAGCTGTATCCAATTACCAGACACAACCATCCCCATCATAGAAGCTTGGGTAAAACCTATAAATTCACACACATAACTTCCTCCATATATTTTATCTATATACATATAGAGAGAATGGAGAAAAAATATATATATTAGGAAAAAACCTGGTTTAGGAATTATAACATCTAGAGCTAGACTAAAATCTTGTGAAGCCAATGAAACTATCTTTAACTATCTCATAAGCTATTAGAAATCTCATGTATTCCCACAAATTAGATTTTATATTTTGTCAGCCAAAACTCTTTGCATGTCCAATCTCTGATAAAAAATGGTATAAAAACTGAGAATTTGATAATATTTTTAAAGATTCAATAACTGTTTCATCTAAAAGAGAAATCAAGCCAGAAATCCAATTCACTGGTTAAACCATAATGGTAGGTACTTGTAAAACTGTAACATTTAGATTTTGTTCTGGCGAACTCTCTCTCAAAATGAGTCAGCCTAAGGGATTCATTCTCATTTACCTATGACATAATTTATTATACTATATTCTAAAATGTAATCAACACTTTATGTACATAGAGACAGAATGCATGTATGAGAGAAGGTTTATGTGTGTCCATCTCTCTGCAATTCTTGAGACAGCATGATCAATAAATCTGAACTGGAATGCCCAAAGATAGTAAATTGATTCTGGTAAGGTTGAAAACAGCCAATGGTTTTGGTTTCTCTTTAAACACAGAATAACGGAGAGCTGTGCACAAGGTTGCCTTCTCTATTTATGCAAACGGTCATCAAAAGTTAGAATCTACTAATATTTTCATAAAGTGCAGAAACAATTCTAATTTTATCAATAGTAATCATAATAATAACCACCACTTCCAGTACTGAGTACTCATTATGCTCTGGGTACTCTGTTAAACCCTTTACTTATATTATAATGATGAATATCATTCCCAATGGAGAGATAGTATCCTCATTTTGTAGATGAGGAAACCAAGGCTTCAGTAACTTAAATAAAGTTGTGCCCGAAGACACTCCGTTATGAAGTGGCAGAGCTAGAATGTGAACTTGCTGTCTCACCTGAAGGTCAACCCATGTGGTTAAGGCCATGTAACTTTAGGAAAGGGAGAGCGCAGTATGAGAAAGGAATGTGCCAGGCTGTGTGTTAGGTATGGAGCCATGGCAGAAGCAAGACTTAGCGGTTTTGATTTGGTGTTTTCTTCTTCTAAAAACAAAAACACCTCTTCTAAATAAGAATGTGCATTGAGCACATAGAGTTTATTCGCCAAATCCTATAAACTCTCTATCCTGTATTTCCTCAGTCAGTACTCAGTCTTCGTTGGGCCATAACATGTTAAATGAATTCCGGCTAACACAAAGATAATTAGCAGGAAAATCAGGGAAATTGGCAGATGCTGCTCAAGCAGGAGAAAAAAAAGTCACTGAAGCCTCTTTGGGCTTTTAATCAAGTGTGTAAGGTACTTCTTTAGAAGAGCTACTGAATAATTCTATTTGAGTCACAGAAGTGATTAGGAAAAGGTAAGGAGCACCCCAGAAGAGGAGGATTCTAACAAACACTGCAGGTAAGGGAAGGTGAGAACAAGACTAGGTAGGCCATCACCCCCACATCCTGAGTCTGCACAGTGGAGGGGGATGCAGTGGCGAGAGGGCTGAGCAGGAAATGAAGCCCCTCAATTTGTTGTAATTACCACTCCCCTGGTGCTGGGGCTGGGAAGGGGGAAGGATGGAAGAGCAAGTAAATTAATGGATTTGGCATTCCAAGGAGAATGGGAGAAGTGAATCAGTCGCAAGTAAATCAAAAGCCCCAGACCCCAAAACGGTCAGATGAGCAGGCTTGCGCCCCCTCCCTTCTGAGTTTGGCCTGAATGCACTAACAGTTGCATATTTGCAAACACACAGACTGACAAGGTAAAATGCAAAACCAAGGGCTAGGGGAATAACACCAGAAAAAGATTTATGTCATGTCATTCTTTATTCCAAAATAACCAGTTGGAAAGTGTCCAAAATCTAGTTAAGATCCAAGTTATATTTCTCTAAGTGTTCTAAGTCTGGAAAAATAAGGCAGTTGCATTTCATTCCCTCTCTGTATCTCTAAAGAGCTTTTCTAACTGAGGGGGCCACATGATGGATGTAAAACCATTGTGATGGCGTCATTAACTGCTGGGTTCTGAAGCCCAAATGAGGTCTTTAGTTTCATTCCAGTGTCAGCACATCTCATGATTTCCTCTTATATATTCACCAGATTCAGAAATGCATCAAAAATTAGGTGGTATGGGATAGAACAACAGTTGCTTTTTTTTTTTTTTACACTAAACAAAACGACTTGGCATGAAAAGTTAACTTTGTTGAGGAAGTCACTCGGAGGTCTAAAAATATATTAAACTATGCCTGAAAATATCAGTTGCAGGGATTCGGGCCAATTATTGTGATCTTTCACCTTGAAAATATTTTCCAACTCTTTTTATATTGCGACGTCCTCACGTTTAAACTGTGTCCTCACGTTTAAACTGTGCTCAAAAGGAAAATTTCTATTTTCAGTTGACAGAAGAGAAACTTGGATAGGGCTGGGCACTTTTCCTGCCTTTTCTTTTACAAACAATGGAAAGCCATTACCTGAGCTGGGATTGTTCTGGAACAGGGCTCCCAGACAAGCGAGGCAGTGATGCTTTCCCATAAGCCAGACTGTTTTCAAAGCTCGTTTTGGCTGAGAAGCTTCTAAGAAGCTAATCCTTTCTGCATTGTCATTAGGACAGCTTTGTTTTTAAAACGTGGCTAGACAGTGTATTCTCAGAAGGTTTATTCTCTCAATGATTTGTGTTTTCCTTAAGTCTTATGTTTTTGTTTTGTTTTTCCTTGTGTGTGTGTGAATAACAGAACTAAAATTCCTTTTGGTTTGGTCCTTCAAGAAAAGTCATTATAAGTAGGTTGAAAAATCTCCTTTTTATAAAATGGAGAAACAGTTGCCTGCCTAGCAGAGTTTACCAGCTTAGAAGCAAGCATCACAAGATCTACTTCTGGCATTTGCAGTGCATTTATTTTAAGGCTGTACGAAGGTGGTTAGTCTTGCTATGTGTTAAGAAGCAACACAGGTTTATCAAGTTGTGGAGGGTTAGGGACTTCGAGAATATTAGAGACTAATTTGTACAGCAAGTATGAATAGAAAAATGAAAAAGCAAAACTATATTGTTTGTTTGGGAGTATATAGCTTTTTTTTGGTGCTCTTATGGGTTTGTGACTGCTGGTAGGGTAGGGAGGCTTGAGAAACAGAATAGACTTTTAATGAACTATTAGATGTTTTGTGCATCTGACAAATACATACTGTCAGTGAGACCTATCTTAGAAATGACATCAAAAAATCTAAACAACTGCATTGTTTGTCCTAGATAGGTATCACTCTCAGTTTATGAACTATAAACTTCTAAAACTAACATGGCACCTCACCTACCTTAGTAACTCTTCCCCTGCTCTACTGAGTAATATTTACTACAAATGTGGAATACTGCCTTCATCTTCTTAAAAAATTGTGATTGTTTATAAACACAAGGACTCTACTCTGAAGAGCACCCCGTGTACTTTTTCTTTTACTAATGGTATAATTTACAACAGAATGGGGTCAGAATTAAACAAGATCTGAATTCTCCTTTAGAATTGAATTAGCAGTTGTGTACTTTTTTGAATGAAATTCTGATCTGCAGCTAAAGGATAGGATTATAGGCATTCCAAGTAAACCTCTTGTTAAGAGAGTGATCACTGAGGCATTTTTGCTTTTACTGGTTAAAAGAAGGTTCTAAGGAGAAAGCAGAACTGATATTTAAAAGCAGGTGACTGAGGGAAACAGGTTCTGCAGAAGAACATTGGTGTGGAAATACAAAACGCAACTTGAAACTTGCTGCAACTGGCTGCGAAGTTTGCTGCAGCAAGTCAAATACCTTGACAGACTGATAGGTTAAATCCCCGAAAACCAAACCAAACAAAGGTAGGGCCTGCCACCCCCACCTCCTTCCCCTATTCATTGTTCCACTGTCGTGACTACGTTGCACACATTATTCTATTATTCACACACACATGATTCTATTACTCAACCTGTGCTGCTGAATGTTTACTGTTATGTAATGCCTTAGATCCTTGTGTCAGATATTATAGGACCTGAAGCAGACATGGCCAAGGCCATGAGTTAAACACTCAGTACAGTTTATCCATACTCTCCAGAAACTCCTTAATCAGTTTAATGGTTTACACTAAAGGTTTCCTGTTAATTAACTTATTTGGCAGATCTATTGGTGCTTTTGTTCTTCACTGTAACCCATCCTAATGAAGTCCTGCTCCAAATGATTCATGTTTCCACTGAATTACAGGGAGATGCTACAGTGGGACGAGCACCCAGGAGCGCCCACTCCACAGGCGGGCACCAGGCCCAGTGCTGCTCCTCTAGTTTGTTTTTGGGAAGTAGCATAGGTTTCTCCTCAACACTGATAAACACTCAGGTGCATAAAAGTGAGTAAATAAACACTGTAGCCTTGAGAAAATGTTCCCTCAGAGGCCACTGCTGTGGGCACTCCTTCAGAATGAGCACAGTGTCTAAAAATTCTGTTTGTTGTCTCTCTCCCATAGGTTTTTTGATTTTTGTATCCTCTTTAGCATCAAAAAGAACAATGAACTCACCACACCATAGGAATAGGTATCACAAGTTTCAGACACAGGGAGACTTTGGATTACTTCTGGAGCCATCCAAGGGAAAGTTCCAACCAAGGACATATGTGTTGTGTGGTTGTGAAATCGAGAGGCACCAAAATCACAGATCTGAAAAAAGAGAAACAATCAGTTTCCACTTACTAATAAAAGAATTATCAGTTATAAAAACCAACATCTGAAATTAACATATATATATATAAAGTTAAAAGAAATAGTCCTACCTTCAATACCCCATCAGCAGCTATAACAACTAAAAAAAAAAAAAGATAAATTATGACAATTGTTTGAATCATCTTATGCTGAAAAAAAATCACAAACATACACTTCTACCTTCCATATGGAAAGGTTAGTAGAGGTACTTTTGTATTAAAGATTTTGCAGAAAGGAGTTGACATTAAAACAAAAAAATAATTGCATGAGTGCTGCTAATAAAAAGCCTTTCAAGAAATTTATTTAATTCAAATGTAGTACTGCCCGATAAGAAAAAGCATAGTTTAGTAGTAAGTAGGAGAACCAATTTTCACTTGAATTCTGCCACCAAGGCACTCACTCAGTATTGAGGAATTCATTAGCATTATTACTTCATGCATAGATATCATTTTTCCTTCCACTTGAGTAATTTTCTTGAAAGTAGAGACAGTAGCCATTCATTCACTTAGCCCCACATTATTCACTCAACAAATATTTGCTGAGCACCTATAATGGGAAAGGCTGTGCACTGTGTTCTGGAATAGGAGAGTAAGTCAGACTGGCATTATCTCTGCTCTCATGGAGCTTGCAGTCTAATGGGAGAGAAAAACATCTATAATAAAGTGGGACAAATCCCATGATGAGAGGGCTTGGGATTGCCACAGAGCCAAAGAGCAGGGGTACCTAAGACTAAGGAGGTCATATGAAGTCTCCTGTGAGAAATGATGCTTATGCAAAGACCTGAAGAATAAATGGGGAGGAAAGTAGTTTTCTGGGTAGAAGAAAGAGCCTGTACTAAAGGTCAGGAGCAGAAGAAAAGGCAGGCAATTGTATAAGGCAGGGACCAGGTCAAGAAGAGCCTTTGTGAGAAATGGAGAGCCAATGAATGGTCTTAAGTGGAGGTATCAAGGGTCAAATGTGCAGAGGGGACGGCATGTTAGAGAACGTGACTGACAGCAATGTCATTGTGTATACAAGTTGCTGTAGTCCAGAGAGAAGAGGGTGTCTATGCAAAGGCTGTGGCAAAAGACAGGAGAGAAGTCAACAAACGTTTAGGAGACAGAATTAACTGGTTTTGAATAATTGGATGTGGAAGGAGGACTCAAGAATGAAATCAAATAAAGAGGCAATATAGCATAATGGTTTGAACAGGAGCTTTGGAATCAAGTTATAATTCCTTTAATTTCTGGCTTAGGCATGTGGCATTGTCACTCACTAAGAAAGAGAATGCAGGAATGCCTTTTTAAAGGGATAGAGAGAAGGTGAAAAGATATAGTTCTGAAATTGAGCTCTATTTGGGAATGTTAATCTGTAGATAGGGCTTTTAAGGAAGCAGGTGATTAAGAGCACAAGAGGAGGGAGGCCAAGGATCAATCCTAAAAACACAGTAGATGATCATTAGTTATTAGCTGTTAAAATGGTCCTGATCAATGGACAGAGTAATCTCTGCATGACCTAAGGATAGGGAAATAGCCTAAAGGTAAATGTGATACTATATATAATATGCAATAAACCTTTTCAAATAAAAATATAAATACTAATACAATACTCATTATATTTACAAATACCTTTATTACTTTTTTCCAAATATATGATCAACAGGTATCATTTAAAAATAGCTAATATATAAATATGTAACACAGAACATGAAAGAGTCTTATTATTCCCTCCCCCACAAAAAACAATTGCTAAAAGTTAGGTACATATTGTTTCATGTGTATATGTTCCTGTCAAGTAACTACACAAATTATAATTTAAAAAATGGAGGCATTCTTCATTGTTATTTAGTTTTCATAAGGACAGCATGGATTAACCCATAATTTAATCATCAGCTTCTCATGGGATATTTAGGATATACTGAGAAAGTAGATCAAAAGGAGAGAAGTCAAACAACTTTAGTTTGAAATTTTGAGCATGAATCGAATTTTACAGTCATAAGACTATGACACTTCCTACTAGAAGAATCCTGCTAGATTCACCAACTATATAAAGTGTTTAGCTCCAGGAAGCTTATGCCTAAGAAGTGCCAAAGGAAAAGTGATGTTCTAGAAAAGGGAAAGAAGACTCAGTCAGTCTCCCGGCGGGTCAAGCTGGACATTGCTGAGTTGCAGTTGCCAAACATCTTCCTTTCTCCATCCCCACAAAACTCAGTCCTGGAGGATGAGGGAGGGTGATGGGTCAAGTCCCCCAGCCCTCGTCCTTCACTGTCATCACTACCCATGCTAAGGACTCCAGTATCAGCATATACCCATTTTAGCTACAGTGATGTAAAGTTTCTAGAAAATAGTCCTTCTCTTCCTTCCTTAGAAAGCATGGAAATAATAATTAAAACATGTAAATAAAGTGATTAGTATGCTTTTTTTTTCAATAGCAAACTTATGTTTACTTTAGCTAGTGCTGGCCAGCTAAGTAATCTCATTCCCTTTCTCCGTTAACTTTCAAGTAATGTAATGGAAGAAGCATCTGTTACTATTCCCGCTTGACGGTAATGTCTAACTCTGCAAATCATTTAAAAATACTCTCCAAGTTATAAAACAGAGGATTATAACTAAACTATATGAAGTACAGGAGGAAGAAGAAAAAGAAAGGCTTTACTTTCCAAACTCCAAAAAGTCATTTCTAAACACTATGTTAGGTAATAAGACTGATGCAAAAAAAAAAAAAAATGTATATATATATATATATATACACACAATACTCAGAAGTAACAAGAAAAAAACCTCTCAAAACTATTTAGTATAGATAACTATCTAAACTAAAAAGACTAGAAATACATGATTATACACTTTGATCCAGTAATAGCTCTTTCATAAAATGAGTCTACAGAAATAATTAGGTATGTATTGAAATGTTGCTGCAAATTATTAAGCTCAACTTTTCTTTTGTCATAAAAAATGTAAATGACCCAAATGTCTACATTCTTGCACATTGTACTATGTGTACTATATGAATACTATGCAGTCTCTTGAAATAACATAGAGAACGTTGATATTTATTAACAGTGGAAGGATTTTCATAGTGTCAGTGGTGAGTCAAAACTACAGGTTACAAAAGATAGGCAAAGTTTGATGCTCAATTCTATATACAGGTACTTTGTAATAACATTTTAAAATAAAAACATTACCATTTCTTGACTTGAGATCTCTGTGAATCACCTTGACAGGAGCCTCCATATGTAAGTAGTGCATTCCTTTTATATGAGAAAGAAAGGCCTTTTAATATTTTCAACAATAACTTATTATTAACCATTCATAATTTTGCAATGTATTCCATAGCAGCAATTAAAGTCACATGTCCTATTTTTCCACAATTGATGAAACAGAGACAGGATACATATATATATATATATATATATATATATATTAGAAAATTTATATGCTTTAATCTCTTCTACATCAGAATCTGATTGTGGTTAAAGCTAGCTTCTTATGATACCTAATAAGGACACCTTAATTTTCTGGAGTCTGCACGAAAATAGCACAGTTACTATTGGAAAAAGTGCTCTAATGACTAAGGTATTTCACTAATTTCACTACCAACTGCTTTCTAAGTCAGCCGAAGTTCTAATCGAGGTTTTTAGTTTTCACTTGGATGTCTGCAGTCACCAGCTGCAGCTTATTTTCTCATTATTTATTCCAATAAGACCCTGGGAGTAAAGGAGGTAGGGATGGAAGAACTAGTGGATTCATTAGTTTTGATTGGTAAAAGATTTTGTAATCATCAGAAAAAAATTATAAAATATTTATAATTTTTGTCATATAGTTATAAAATATTTTGGTTATATTAGTTTTAGTTACAAGATATTTTATTCTTCTTACAAGGAAAGATCTTTGAGATGATTCATACTTAAATGACCTGCAAAATTTTCTCCAATATATGTAGAATATAAATCAAGTTACTTCAATAAATTGGATTTACACAATACTTTGTCTTATTATTTTGAACAAAAAAATATACTTTAAAAGATGTATCTCATAGTTACCCCGATAATAGTGTTTTATTCTTTTTCTGTAGTATTGTCTACCCCTTTAAAATATTTATTGAGTTGTATTTTCAAAATAATGGAAGAAATAGGCCACCCCCAATCCTTTTGTTAATGAACTATCCACTGAACATAATTTAATAACTAGGCTTTGGTTCTTTTGAAGTATATAGGAAATTTCAATTTTATAAAGGTTAAATTCTATTAACCTTTATAAATAATCTCTTATTTTTCCACTGATTATTATGTATTGAAGAATTATGAGAGAACAAAGAAAATAAAAAAGTTAAAACTCCTGTCATATAGATATTACCAAAAAGAGTCAAGTTAACAAAAGTATTAGTAATTTAAATGGTCTTAAAATGTAACTGGAATAAAGGAAATCTTTCTTCTATTACAGTATTCTATAGACTCCAAATTGAAAATTCAATAGCTACAACTTGGATATCTTTTAATACATTTATGAGTGAATTTCATAGTTACCTCTCTCTTTCTTTAGGAATCATATTCCTGAATAACTTTTTTAGGTAGAATTTGTTTAATTACTATTAGAAGTAGAATTAGGGAGCTTCTACATTAGGTGCAAGTAAGGATTTAAAAAAATGCAAGTATAAAAACTTTAAATATAGTTGGCAGATACTGTGGGAAAAGGTGCCATAAATTACGTGTATACAATGCAGAGTTTATAGAATGTTTATAAAATATTTAGTATACATAAACACAGTAGTAATAGTGGTCACAAAAATTCTATTCAATGTGTTTTTATAGTGCTATCCATAATTCTGCCTTATTTGTGTTGCAAGCAATATTTTTTTATAAGATCTCTTTTTTTTAAAGATTTATTTATTTATACAAGAACTGGGGTACAGGCCAGAGGCGTGGGAGGGTGAGAGAATTCACCAGACACAGAGCAGGGAGCAGAACAGGCAGACAGACTGAAAACACTGCTGAGGGGAGCAGCGGATGAGACAGGAGAGGTCTGCCACGCCATGTGGGTATCTCCCTGGCAAGCTGGGAATTGAACCCATGATGCAGAGGCTGGGGACAGCTTCACAGTGCTGTGCTCAACCCGTTGTGCCACCAGGGAAGCCCACAAGCAATTATTAAAAATGGAAAATATCTTCATCCGTTTTAAGATTCAGGATTTCCTTTAAAAAAAAAAGGTGTCACTGGGGAGATTTAGAATCAATAACAACCATTTTAAGACTGGATCCAGATTTATCTGCTTTAATCAACAGAGTGTTTTACACACTGTTGACTGACTTGAAGAAACTTCAGATATACTTTTTGGTCTATCCTCCATTCCTCTTCCCATCCAGAGAGCAAAGAATCTTTTCTTGGTTTTGAGAAGGTACTTTTCCAAAATAGTGAAGTTAAGCATGCCTATTTCAAAATGCATGAACCAATTCTCATATGAAATTAATTATTCATTCTTTGATTTCTCAACATCTTGTTGCTTCAATGGCTTCAATCATGGTCAAATTGAAAGGTAAGTAGCTGAATTTGAAATTGAATCAACAAAAATCAAGCCTCTTTATTTAGACTCCAAGTTCTGAGTTCTATTGGAGAGCATGGAAGTTATTTCAAAAGCATTGATTTCCTCTTCCTTTTATAGGCCATTTTATTTATTTATTTATTTATTTTAAAAGATTTTTTTATTTATGCATACAACTGGGGTGTAGGCCAGAGGTGCGGGTGGTGGTGGGGGGGGTGGCTACAGAATTCACCAGAGACAGTGTGAAGAGCAAAACTGGCGGATCTACTGAAATACATTGCTGAGGGGAGCAGTGGGCGAGACAGGAGAGGTCGGCTGTCCCATATGTGGGTTAGCTCCCTGGCCAGGGATCAAAATTATGCCGCAGTGTCTGGCTATTGCATGATAGCACTAATTTTAACCCCAGTGTCACCAGGGAGGCCCTATAGGCCATTTTAAATATTAAGTATTACTTACGATTATAAATTAGTATCTTCTCTGCCTCACTCTTCTCACCTGAGGTCAAACACATTAGAACCTGCCTTTTAGATCAATTCACCAGCCACAGTAAGGTGAATTTATTACTGTTTACTTTTGAACAATCCTATGATCCACTCCCATTCTCTCCTTTCCTGTTCTTTCTGGTTCCTTCTCTCCTTGATCTTTAGCATACAGAGTGTCAGCACTCTTGAGAAACACAGAACTAACTCAGCTGATGTGAAATCTAGGGACTTTCCTCTCTGAAGGTACTGCACGGGAGAGGGAGCAGGAGAGATGAGAGCACCGGCTGGGGACCAGGGAGGCTGAAGAAATGTGCACAGGAGGAAGCAGAATGACGGATGTCAGTTGGTTTGTTTGCTGCCTACCCACCCCAAGTACTATTAAGTAACAACATCGGTGTCATTGGTTGAGCACCCTAAAAGTAAACAACTGTAAGGTGAAGTGCTCTAAGTCAAGGACTGCTTGTAAATGCATTTACATTTGTGTAAGTTTATTTCCACAATGCTTCAGGCAGTTCCCAGTAACAGTACATGACCCTGCTTACAAACAGGTGGTGTGGTCCCTGCTTGCATGCCAAGAAGTAACTATGATATTACATGAAAATGACTTGAAGAATGTGAAATTTTAAAGCTGATTTGAGAAGACTGATGCATGAATACGCATTAAAGTTAATTAACACAGCCAAAGTCTTAAGTACACGACCTTACGCATGGAGCTTATTATTCTTATAAGGTAATGAAGTATCGTTCAGCAGCAGCATTTAGCATGAAACTTTAAAATTTTCAGTAATCCTATTTGAAGAATTTGGCAGGTGTTGATGAAACTTGAAAGAAACAAGATAATTCCTCAAGGAAAGACCATTACTTTTTGAAGTCACCTTGTGACTTCCTAGTGAAAGCAAAGTGTGAATTTTTTATTTATTGAGTCTTAAATATATTTTTATTTGCTTTAATACAAAGGAGTTATTGCCCTAGTAAAATTTATACACATTTGCTATCCAGGGGTTGCTAGAATACAAATGTAACTATCAGTATCCATTATTTAGATTAAGTTGTTTCTAAAGCAACTTTAACAGTTATAAATAAAACTCAGAAACTTTCAGTTAGAAATATGAGGGGGAGGGGAGGTAAAAATTAGTGGAATTTAATTTGATTTAGAAAGCATTAGCCTGGGCAGGAATTTATGAGGGAAGAAGAACTGGGTACCTTGTTTAGGGACTTTGCATATTAAAAATATTTCATTTCCAAGGGTGATTTCCAAGTTTACATTAAATATAAAATAAAATCTGAACTGCTTTTACATGGCAGGACAAATAAAGCTTTTTACAATTGGTTACTGTTTTTGCCATGAACAGAATGGTTACTATTTTTGCCATGAACAGAATGAACAGAATTAATCCTACATTAAATCACATTTTCTGGTAACCAGGTTGTAGGGTAAAGAAAATGTCAGGCTTTTCTGCCCTTCCGCCATCAGGATAGATGATGGATCCTTGTCCTGAATGCATGCCTGATGGCGGGCACCTGGAATAGGGTGTGGGCATAGGTAGATGGGATTCAGCTGAGCTAAGACTGTGCTTTTAAGGGCGGCGTCACGGGGGGGACGCTAGCAGCCCCAGCCAGCAGCAGCAGAACCTGAAGGAGAAGCCGAAGCAGAAGCAGAGAACGCCAGAGAGCCCAGATAGAGTGAAGACTTGCTGGGGGCTGGGAGGCCTGCCAGCCTCCCAGTCCCCAGCCAGCACCCCTGCCTGCCATATGCCTGGTGAACCCCAAATAAAAGACCTGCAAAACTACTGAGGACTCTGACTGCTCCTTTACCCGGTCTGCATGGGATCAGAAAACCTGCACTGTGTCCAGTTCCTGCGCCCTTACAATTGGCGTATGTCGGCAGGATCCATGCAGACGGGTATTGGAGCCCTCCGAAGACCTGGAGGGACTAAGGAGAACAGACTTTGCCTGTGACGACGCTGGAGGCACCATGGCGGTATAGAAGATGGATACGTCCACGAGCTACAGGATGAGACCTGGCGTGAAGGAGACGCCCGAAAGGACCAGCCAATGACACCGGATAGGACCAGCCAACGACACCGGATAGGACCAGCCAACGACACCGGAAAGGACCAGCCAATGACCCCTGAGGCAGCAGGCCATTGCTGAAGCAGGGAGAGGCCAATGGACTGATAGACTGATGAACTGATGATTTTGGACTGACAATCCCACCAGAAGGCGGAGGACCTTAGCAGGTTATGTTTATTTTTTGAGAATCTGGGGGTGGCCAGTGGGCCTAGATGGCCAAAAGCAGCCTGTGTATGCCCAGCAGCCAGGTGGAGGAGAAAAGCCAACTAAGAAAGCAAAAGCTGGTACTGATGATAAGTTGAGAAGCCCTGAGCTGCTGTTAAACAGCCTGGGTATGCTGAAGCCCTGTGAGTCTCGTAAAATCACCTGTGGGTGATGCCCTGCTCATTCTTGAGCGAGGGTGAGGAGCTGAGGAACCTGTCCTTGGGGGACGGGTGGGGAATGTGGCTTGGGGTGGAGCCCAAGCCGAATGCAGAGTTTGGATCCCCGACCCATGTGATTGTGCAGTGGGTTGGCTTGAGTGCAGGGGTCTGTGAGTCGCATGGGTGGCCATGAAGGCCGAGTGTTGGAGCGACTGCAGACAGAAACCCTGAGGGTTGGCGATTACCCCCAACAGAATAAAATTGCCAATCCCAGAGCTAGTGCATCCTGGGGGTGGATGCTGTGTGTGCCTTGTAGCCGAGACTACAGCCAGAGAGGCCAGGAAGCCTGACGGCTCCTGGTGTGTTATAGCAGATGCCGTGTGTGATTTCCCCTCCCTCGTATGAGCAGTGCCTTCGGCAGCAGATTTGGTGGCTCATCTGCTGGTACCAATAATTGTCTTTTGCACTTGGTTGGTGCCCTGCCTGGACTTATTTGTGTTCTGTTGTATTTTGTTATATTGTATTTTGTTATATTTGATGTATTTGCTTTTGTGGGCCATGGCTGCATTGTTTGTTTGCTTAGAAAATTGTATATATATGTATAGACTATATGGCAGAAAACCCTGAGGGGGTGGACTGTAGGGTAAAGAAAATGTCAGGCTTTTCTGCCCTTCCGCCATCAGGATAGATGATGGATCCTTGTCCTGAATGCATGCCTGATGGCGGGCACCTGGAATAGGGTGTGGGCATAGGTAGATGGGATTCAGCTGAGCTAAGACTGTGCTTTTAAGGGCGGCGTCACGGGGGGGACGCTAGCAGCCCCAGCCAGCAGCAGCAGAACCTGAAGGAGAAGCCGAAGCAGAAGCAGAGAACGCCAGAGAGCCCAGATAGAGTGAAGACTTGCTGGGGGCTGGGAGGCCTGCCAGCCTCCCAGTCCCCCAGCCAGCACCCCTGCCTGCCATATGCCTGGTGAACCCCAAATAAAAGACCTGCAAAACTACTGAGGACTCTGACTGCTCCTTTACCCGGTCTGCATGGGATCAGAAAACCTGCCTTGTGCCCTGTCCTGCCCTTACACAGGTCTAAACAAACCTGTAGAGCAACAGTAAAATTATGATCTCTCTGCAGAATGTGTCAAACTGTCAATTGCAATGTCACAAAACAGGGTAAAAATGGCTGCCCTGAGCCATTGATTTTGTTGAAATTTGATTTTAGGGAAATAAAGAAAGGAAAGAGAAAAAAGGAATGCAGAAGTAGAAAGGCAATGGCCTGAAAGATTATCTATAAAAGTAAGTTGCAAGTTCTTGTTAATTTTTGCTTTGAAAAAAAAATAAAAAGAACATTTAAAGACATAGAATAATACATTTTTTGACAAGTCACCTTGTCAGGATGTGAAAAGGCCCCCCACCAACTCTCTAAGAACACAGGATGCATTATTACCTTTGGCTACATCAGTGGCCCAGGTCATAATGTGATCCATGTCCATCTCTTCACTTCGGTTACTGTTAATGTAATCATAGAGTGATCCCAGAGAAGCATATTCTATTTTTAAAAGGAAGATAAGCAAATAATCAAAACCAATATGCATTTCAGAAATAATACTTATATTGTCATTATAAAAAACGTATTAAGGAATTTAACACAAGACATTAAAAGCATATAAATATTGCTTCATGTAGTGGTTCTCAAAGTTATTATTCTAGAAAGAAATGTGTCAAAAATAAAACTGCTAATTGAATGAGTAGTAAAACTTCAGTTGAGGATGAAATCAAAAGCCATTTAGATCAAACTGACAAACACTAAATGGTGATTGAAGAATGAATTTGAAACAAAGGCAGGCATGTAACTAGGTATAGCTGTCCTCTTGATTTCAATACATCCCCTCTCCCTTTGATTTTCTGTTTCTCACTTACTTGTGCTCTCTGTGCTAATATCTTTATCATTTTAATTCCTCATTGACTTTTTACTCTATTTCTTTAGTGAACTCATTGATGGCTGAAGGGATTACAAAATACATCTTAATTTAGCACCATCTGCTTCAGATTAATACTAATTTAATTACAGTAAGTCAGATTCTTTTCCCCAATAGTTTCATACCCTCCTTCATCCTTTAAATGGTTACTATAAATCACATTATATCTACATGTATTTTTTTAAGTCAACAAAGCAGTGTTGTTTAAATTATTGTTTTATACAATCTTAAATTTTCAAGGAAGAAATGACAACAAAAATATGTGTGGATCACCCAAAGCAGTGATAGTGAAGGCAAAGATAAACAGCTGGGACTACATCAAATTAAAGAGCTTCTGCACAGCAAAAGAGACAATAACAAAAACAAAGAGAAACCCCACCAACTGGGAGAACATTTTTGCACCCAACACTAATGATAAAGGACTGATCACAAAAATCTGCAAAGAGCTGATGAGACTCAGCAACAACAAAGAAAATAACCCAGTCAAAAAATGGGCAGAAGAGCTAAAAAGAAACTTCTCTGAAGAGGAAATGCAAATGGCCAACAGACATATGAAAAAATGTTCAACATCACTTGTAATCAGGGAAATGCAAATCAAAACTACCATGAGATACCATCTCACACCAGTGAGAATGGCACATATTAAAAAAACTAGCAACAACAAATGTTGGCGAGGGTGTGGAGAAAAAGGAACTCTTCTGCACTGTTGGTGGGAGTGCAAACTGGTCCAACCACTGTGGAGAGCTGTGTGGAGATTTCTGGACCTACTAAACATAGAGCTTCCATATGATCCAGCAATTCCACTCCTAGGTATTTACCCAAAGGACACAGAAACATCAATTCCAAAGAGCACCTGCACCCCTATGTTTATAGCAGCACTGTTTACAATAGCTAAGCTTTGGAAACAACCCAAATGCCCAAAAATAGATGACTGGATCAAGAAGATGTGGTACATATATACTATGGAATATTACTCAGCATTCAAAAAGATAAACACATGCAATTTGCAGCAACATGGTTGGCGCTGGAAGGGATCATGCTCAGTGAAATAAGCCAAAAAGAAAAAAGAAAAATACCGGATGGTCTCACTCATAGCAGGAATCTAGAAAACTTAAATAAGGGACCAGGAAAATGAATATAAGAAAGTGAAAATCAAAATCAACAAAAACTATGAACCAGAGACACTTTTTGGGGGGTGGGGGGCGGGAGGGGAAGGATTGGGGTCAGAATGGGGGGTTTGCAATTGTATGGGGGAATATAAAAATAAAATTTATTATTTAAAAAAAAAAAAAAAGATTGAGTAATTTCTACTCACCAGGTTTTAAGTTTACTGATTTTATAGTTCGTGGGTTAGAGGCACAGGTGGCAACCTAGACTTGCAATTGGCATCCAAGGAAAGGAGAGGGCAAGGTTGTGTGACTGTGCCCTTAACCCATGGGATTAGATGCTATCTACAGGTAGATTGTGTAAGGATTGTGCTAAATTGTATGCTATAGCTGGTGGTGCAGAGAATTGCTTCATCTGGGAAAAATTACTGTACATTTGGTGATCAGGGGTGTCTGAAGCAAATCAGAATATTTAGAGTAGAGGAGAACAGGGTCTTTTTCCAGAATAAATGCACTTTGAAAACTGTGTTTAGCTGCTTTAAAAACTGATTTTGCTGATTTAAAAAAACCAGGAATATAGAAGATATATCATTAAATGAAATTGTTTCATGAATGTGAGGGTGCAAGAAAGACAATATTATTATATTATTTCATGTAAATGCAGGATCTTAAAGTGTAGGTAGCTATTTTTTTTAAAGCATTTAATTCTTTCATCCCTTTTAGCTCCTCACTGAAAATTAAAGACATCATATACACATATGGTTATGTTTTTCAACCCACTTCTCCCTAGAGAGTACTTTAATGAACTTAGTGTAAAATATTTATTTTAATTCTTTTTTAAAAGCATCATTAAGAATCATGTGAAGAAAACATTTTGATTTCTAAGATGCCTTTTCTATTTGAGTTCTGGCAACAATAGCTGGCTTGGAAAATGTAAACAGACTGTCAGTATTGTTGAAACAAATATCATTACCATGAAATATTTTCATAATATACTATCACCAAGACTAAACTTAGTTTGACTTCTAACTAATATAACAAATGAATTTGGGCAAATGTCTAGAATTGTTATAGGACATGGTACTTGTTTCTAACTGGCAAATAAGGAAAGACCAACTCAATAGTAAAACATGCAAATTATATGTGTCTGTGCTTAAAATAGATCAAAAGCAAGTCAAAGGAAATAAGATTGGGCATTTAAAATTTAATGTTTTCTATGGTTGAGTTTAATGTGAAGGTGGGCCTGTTCAGGAATTACATAGACTTAGTAGCCTTTCTTAGAACAGTGGTAAGAAGTAATGTGAAATAGACAATAAAATTAATAGGTAGTAGCAGGCCCAGGGCACAAAGATGTAATTCACTAGGTCTCTGGCATCCTAAATCATCTTCCTCTTGAACTTAGGGACCCAGGGGTTCCATACTTTGTGCAGGGTTCCTCTCCAAAGTGATTTGCTACACAAGAGTTACATGATCTGGTATTTAAGGACTTCTTCCTTCCTCTCCTGGGGGCAAGGGGAGAGGAGGTGGGAGAAGGGTAGATGAGGGGGGGGGGGATAGGGAGGAAAAACAAGATAAAAGTATGGGAGCAATAATACGTATTTGAGGTTTCTAAAGATCAAAGAAAAGATGATCTATTATTAAATCTTTTGACTTTGGCATTTGTGGTTCAGTCAACTCTATTATGTAGTATATCTGAAGAAAAGATTTTCATTTTCCTTCCAAGAGAAATGAAATGGCAGCTCCTTCTTGGACCATGCCCATTTCCTTTGATAAGCAGCTTTTGTAAATGTGTGATGAAAAGTTTCAGCAAACACACATGCACAGGAGTACACATACACATAGTCATCCAGATATAATCTATTCTAATCCCTTCATACACAGATAAGAAAACGGAAACAGAGATCATCAGTGACTCAATTACACAGCTTTGGCAGAATCAAGGCAAGATCTCACACCTCCCAATTCCTATGCTAGTGTTTATTACATTCTCATCACACTGGTAAATCATTCTTTCAAGTCCTCAACGTAAGTGACAACAGGTGCCTGCTGCACTAACCTCTTCTATTAAATAAACTCAAACTGAAATGATTTCAAGCCATTCAAGATAGACCCTTACTAACAGGGATGTAAAATAACAGTATTTCAATTAAAAAAAAATTTCCCTCAGTGTCTTCAACAGCTGAGAAAGATGACGTGCTTCTAAAGAAATGCATCTACTTAGGCCAGGTAATTCAAGCCTGTCTGTTTATCTGTCTTTTTTCATTCTCAACCTTTCCATAATGACTTAATGGTGTTCATTTCAAGAGACAGGGTAAGTGCTATGATACCCAACCCATTTAATCTTCCAAATTTGGCTCAGTTGGCAATGTATTGCTACCTATACACAAAGCATGGTTTGATCTACTAATGCAGAAGGTTGATTGGAAAGTTTATGTATTTTTTTTGTTAGATATTTGTAAACAATTGAAATTAGCATCACTAGAATGCAAAGATAATTGTATCAAATTAACATATTTGAAAATACCAAAACTTGGTTAAGAGGTATCTTTAATAACGAACCTCGCAGGTCAATAAAAGAGCTACAAATACACAATTTACTATTACCTCCCAAATCTGAAACTTGTGTTATTTTAAAGTGTTTAATGTTATAATTGCTTACTTACTGATTGGATGGGGAAATATAGATCTAAAAAGAATTAATTATAACCAAAGATATTGTTGAATAGGCACAGGGATGAGCAAGGAATGCTAGAAAGGTACATAATATAAACAACTGGCTAGTCTATAAAGACAACTAAATAATATCAAACTTACTGATAGGACTGCTTGGATTCTTTCTCTCCTTTGGATGAAAAGACCTGGATTGAACATACTGAATAAGCATGAATGCTTTATATCCTCCTTGGAACTGAAAGGTAAGTCTTGGGGAAAGGAATTCACACCATGACTCATGGCCCTTTTTTTACTCCTCATCCTCATCTCAAAAAACTAGGACCAGGGAGGACCTTGCATACTATTTTTTAAATGGATTATAAACATTCGTTCCAGTAAAATAATGTTATGGAAAATTTTAAAAAGGAAAAGAAAAAATCAGTCACCCCACTAACATAACTCTTATTTGTATTTGTCCCCTAGTCTTTACTAATAATTCTTTTAAAATATTTTATATTAAAAGTATGTGTCTTAGTCTTCACCTAACCACTTTGACACTTAGGCATATATAATATAAGAATAAAAATCTTTGAATCATTATAACATGTTCATTAGTGGTTCAGTATGATCTTTTTAATTTTTTTAATTTAACTTAATTGTGACACTATAAAATTCCTAATAAATTCATTACCATCCTCCCCCTCCCAAAAAAAGAAACTAGAAAACTCCCTAAATAGTTCACTCAGCTAGTTAAACTGAAATCTTCTCCTCAAATACATTAAACATCAAGGTACAAGACAAGAAAGTCTAATTTCTTTAAAGCCTCATGCTTTCATCTTCCAGATAAAAGTAACTTAAGCCATAAAATGAAGATCACAAAACTGGATTTGGATTTATAAGGGAAACATAAAGAAGGAGCAATATTGTAACTGGGTCTAAATAGGGTTTAACTTAAATTTAGAAATTGGAACTACAATGTTAAACATATATAACCCATTCTTGGATATTCAAGTTAATAAGAAATAGGCTCAAAATAAAACTGCCACATATCCTATTTTAAGCATAAATCTAAAGATAGCTAATTGGGGATAAAATGTCCTCCACTTAGGACCCTAGGTAAAAATGCTATTTGTCAGAGTAAAAGCATGGTAAAATGCCTTTATCAGAGATGGAAATAAGTTACCTTTGTCCCTTTGTACTTCAGAACCAGAGTGCTTGTAGGCTTCCAGGACCTAGCTTGTGTGCAAGAAGAGGAACTCCTGTTTAAAGTCAACCTGAGAAATTTAACCACTCTGATTCTACCACTAGCTGAGTGACCTTGAGAAAGTTTACTTAAAGTTTCAGTTTCTTATTTGTAAAATAGATATTATTTTGCTTAGTGAACAGTGCAAGTGTTAGATGAGGCAATTTATAAGACAGTACCCAATCCAATCCTTTTTATTGAGGTTGTTTTATGGTTATTTTCTATAAAAATAATCCAAGTTCTTACCACTACAGTAGAAGAAGACAGGACTAATCTTTTAAGGTTTTCTTGATTGTTGTTGTAATCAAAGAACTACCGCAATAAAGAATCGACCAAAGTTATTTGTTGTAAATTGAAGATTATACTTATTATGCTTCCCAGACTGCTCACTGGAATGTGTAAGTATGAGCATAAAGTATTAGTAATATATGTCCTTGTGTGGTTTTATATGCAAAAATATCTGTGTGTTCCATTTTGGAAAGGGTATTTCTACCAGTTATAAATTGCTGCTCCAAATTGTGTGATAACTTAGATCAAGGTCATTACCAGCCCAGATGACCAAACCTGAAAAATATTGTCCTCATGTCAGAGACCTTAAAGAAAGAATGCTCTAATGGGATTTAAATGCCTTGTAAAGAGTTACAACAGGAATAGCTCAAGAAATCTTAATTTGTAAAAGGTCACAGAGTTACAAAAAACATCGCTCATTTCAACTAATTAAATGAAATTTTAGTTAAACGGCACCTTTAAATATTGGTATTGCAGCTGTGAGTGCATTTAAATAGCATTTACACAGATATAATTAGCACAATTAAACATGGGTAGAAATGGAAACACCATTCTTAATTATATTGATATAATCAGTTTTATTAATGCTTTATGGCAACAAAAGTGACATCTGACAGTAGCATACAATTCATGACTAAACCTAATATTAAGCATTTTAGCACATTAAGAAATCTAAAGCTAGGTAATGGGAAAAGGAAGAAGTCAAATAACGAGTTCCTACCTGTGACGATACCATAGTTGGGAGGTTCAAGAATTACTCCATAAAACTGGATGATGTTTCTGTGACTCAGGATACTGAGTATTTCTGCCTATACAAAAATCAAATACAAAATTGCATAAAATTTCACATTTATGAGTCTAATAAGATAGATTTCCTATTCAATTTTCTTTTCCATACATTTACAAAGATAAACACATGTGCTCAACAAGTATGAGATACTGATATAATTCTATCTTTACTGCATTCTTAAAGTTTAAAAACTTCTACTGATGCTTCTATTGACATTTTCTTAAATTTCTGAAAATTTAAAAAGGAAATGGGTTAAAGTGGCAACAAAATAAGTGTTTACTTGCAAGCTGGTGCTACTAACAGTGGAGGGGTATCACTGTTAGTTGTGATTCCATATTTATTTACAGCAAAAGCCCTTTTTCTAATAGTCAAATACATATTTTTCTATATTATATCTTCTCTAGGAAAACTGAACTTCTATCAGTTAGGTGAGCAGTTGTGGCAAAATGAAGCTATGGGCTTGTACCCATAGCTGTAGAATTGAGACTACTATATGGCTGTAAAATTGAGACAACTATAGGGGGCAGGGGGAGGGGAAGGCAGGAGAGAGATGCCTATGGTAAAGGATTGTGGGGTGCTTGAGTTGGGTGTGGGGTGGTAACTACTCCATGGAGGTGTGAACCATGCCCAGTGTTATAAACCAGTGTGACCTCAATAAAGAAAAAAAAAATATGGGCTTTTAACTATTAGTGGAATAGAGTCAGATAACACCCATTTATATTATTTATCTTACTCATTCAACACTAATTATTGTTCTACTGTATTCAATGTACTATAAAATGATATAAATATAAAAGATGGATTCTAGACCTTCAGTGGTGATTTGATAGGGAAACCTTACTTTATACTTTGAAATGTATTACATGTGAGAAAACTATGCTGCAGAATGACACAGTAACAATTATATTTATTAAACGTAATTTTTAAAATGAAAAAAAAAAAACAAAACCAGATACCACAATGTATATCCACTGAAGTCTATAAGGACATCATCTAGATTAAATCACATGTAGTCATTTATATTGTATTACTTTTAATATAATTTATGTGAAAATAAAATACAGCAAATGAAAAATCATGATATAAAATGATGCAGGTTAAAAAGAAGTTTTTAAAATATAAAAATATTTTAAAGTGAAAGGCATATTATTGACCACAAGAAAATAAGATTTCCTATTTATCCCAGAAAGAGGATCATGAAGACAAGTGTCAGCAACAAAAGAGAAGAAGCCTTGCTCAGAAGAGGACTCTCCTTCCAAAATCTGCACACTATGAATTAGTGCTAATTGTTACAATTTTTTTCAAAGGATAAGAATCAAGATTTCATTTAAAATACCATGAGACTTGTTTTGAAGGTGATGATAGAACGAGGCAGGAAAAAGAAGTTTGAGGGTTGGCATGGGGCCCATATGGAATTATATAAAGGAAAATTATTGAATGGATGAGATTTTACCAAAGTTGAGTTGACACTGGTTTTCTTTCTGTAGCATAGAAGTGGAAGGGGCTATCAAAATGATTCCTTAACACCCACTGAATATCGCTGTGTGGAGGTTTTGTGTTTATCAAGCAACCTTTCCTCAGTTTTCCAGTGAGGAAGAAAACACATTAATTTTGCAATATAATTAGCCATCTGTATGGCAATTCTATTTCTCATTAAAAAATTATAAATGAGGGGCCTCCCTGGTGGTGCAAGGGGTTAAGCACTGCACTATGAAGCAATCGCTAGGTTCTGCAGCACAAGTTCGATCCCCAGGCAGCCAGGGAGCAACCCACATGGCGAGGCAGACCTGTCTCACCTGCTGCTCCCCTCAGCAGTATATTTCAGTCAGTCTGCCTGTTCTGCTCCCCACTCTGTCTTTGGTGAATCCTTTCACCCCCCACATCTCTGGCCTGTATCCCAGCTCTTGTATGCATAAATAATAAATAAATCTTTTAAAAAAGAAATTATAAATGAATCCTATTATAAAAATAGAGTTCATAATCATAAACTGCCCCTATTTTTAAGTGGCAGATCAAACCTTTGTGAGTAAAGCACTAGAGTTCAAAGTGAGTAAAATGTTAATATTTAAACCAGAGTTTGTCAAAGTGGGAGAATGTTAACCTAGGTATGCTTTGGTATATTTCTTGGTATTTTAATTCTGGGACTATTAAAAGTGTTGGCATCAAAAATAAATACAATGGTCATTTTACACATGACATGGGATTTTCATTGTTCAGGCTCATTTTTATATTTACGCTTACAATACTGCCAGGTGACACCCTGGAGGCACGATTTCTCTCTTCAAGTGCTGTGTGCTGAACAGCTCCTGAGTGGGCATATCCTAATTTCAAAATAACACCTTCACCTTGTGTTCCATTGTTGTGCTTACATTTTAATTTTTTACAGTTATGAAAACTAACTTTTACAGTATAACTTTCCGGTGAAAGCCATTTTTATGGAATGTGGCTTTAGGTTCTAATTTAATAAACTAAAAATCTGATTTAATATTGTGATGACAACAAACTATTGTAGAGTGCTGTACTAATTTATGGAAATGAGCTAATAATAAACAGAAGTAGACTAAAATACAAGTGATATTTGCGTTAAATGAAAGGTGAGCAATCTGGTCTTAATAATTCAAACAGGTGTCAGTAGAAATAACTGGAATTAACTGAGTTACTAAATAAAGCCTGTGCTGTCACAGTCAGTACCTGACAGCAATACAGCAAGTGGCTGTAGATCATTAATAATTCATTAATAAAATGTAAATATGTAGTAAAAAAGCAGGAAATAATTTTTTTGTAAAATTGGTGTTTTCCAGATTTATATTCTGGGTTACTCTAGCAGCTAGATGGCCCATCAAGGTAATAGATTAGTGGTTCAAAATAGGGATCATGGGTGCCTTGGTGGTAGGTGTGGTGTGGCAACATCCATCTTAACAGGTGTGAACCCGTATGTCTGAGTTATATACAGTGTTTTATGCCAATGTTACCTCAATAAAAAACAATACAATTAAAGAAGAAAATATAATGATGAAGGCTAAAATAGTGGTCCATTGTGCTAAAAATGTAAATATGTCTTTTTACAAAAAACAAGTACTGTATTTTCTGTTGAGAATTGTTCATTTTAGTTGTATTGCTTTTATAGTTTCATCTAGCTGAAAAACTGGTTTTGATTTTATAAGAGCTATAAGCATGGGAATTAACTTTTAGTTTTACATTTGTGTATATTTAAGCGATACTGAAAATTATTTTAGTCAACACTGGAAGTCTAGCTAACAATCTTTCTGTACAAAGAATCTATACCTTTCTCAGTTAGCAAAATGCTATTCTAGGGTCTGAAACAGACACTTATATGCCAACATTCATAGCATCATTGTTCACAAAAGCCAAAAGGTAGAAACAACCCAAGTGTTTGTCAACTGATGAAGAGATAAGCAAAATGTAAATACAAAGTAAATGTAAATACAATGGACTATTATTCAACCATGAAAATGAATTAAGGTCTGATACATGTTACAACAGGATGAATCTTGAATATATTATGCTAAGAGAAAAAGCCTGCCACAAAAGGTCAAATATTGAATGATCCTACTTAGATGAAATATCTCAAATTAACAAATTCAGAGAAAAAGGAAGCAGGTTAGAGGCTATCAGGGGCTGGTGGAGAAGGAAATAAGAATTTTTTTTGGAGTGATGGAAAGTTTTGGAAACGGTACTGATATCTGTAAAACACTATGAATATAATTATTGTCACTTAATTATATACTTAACTATGGTTAAAATAGTAAATTTTATGCTATATTTTTATGACACTAAAAATGTTTTAAAAATATTGTTCTTTTGCAGAGATGACTGCTCATCCTCTTCTCCCTCCCCCTACACTAATTCTCTTAAAATCACAGACCCCAAGGTTTAAATATCCTGGGGATAAATACATAGTTTTTCAGATTAGGATTTGAGCATCTAAGGAAAGACTGGGACAGACTCCAGCTATGTTAACTCAGGCTCAACGACGTCCATAAAGCAAAATTGTTTGAATTTGATAATAGAAGTTGGGGTACCCACAGGTCTAGCGATACAAATGTCCAACAGTGATGTTAGCAGTGTTAGCAGACAAAAATGTCTGCACAGACACTATTTGCAGTAGGCTCTGTGACTATTCCCACTGTTGCCAGGTGGAGCCAGTTTCTTCCTCTTTTCCTCATTTCCTCCTTGTTAATTCTTTATAGGAAAAATTACTGAGGTTTTAGTTTGTTAATAGAGCTGGGGGAGGGGATGGTGGTGGCGGTGGATATTTTGTTAATTTTTTAATCTGGCATGCATATGGGGAGGTGAACCATTAGGTCAGTCGCCATGTCCCCAGAAGTCACCCAGCATACAAGTTCTAGACAGGTGATTCCAGCAAACAGAATAAGAGAAGTTAAATATAATAATTTAAAATTAACTGAGTATTATAACTGAACTAAGTTTAAGAGTTTTTTTTTTTTTTTAAATTTATTTATTTGTTTGTTTGTTCGTTCGTTTTGTTTATACATGCACTGGGTACAGTCAGAAGCGCGGGAGGGTGAGAGAATTCACCAGAGCCAGAGCGGGGAGCAGAGCAGGCAGAAGGACCAAAGTACACTGCTGAGGGGAGCAGCGGGAGGCAGGAGAGGTCTGCGCGCCCTGTGGGACCCTTCTTCGGTGGCCGGGGAGCAGCCGGGGATAGAACCGGCGCCGCGGAGGTCGCCGGCAGCTTTGCAACCCAGCGCTCAACCGCTGCGCCACCGGGGAGGCCCAGTTTAAGAGTTCTTTTAAAAGATTTGTTTTATTTACTTTTACATACAAGAACTAGGGTATAGGCCAGAGGGGGTAAGAGGATTCTCCAGGGACAGAGTGGGGAGCAGAACAGGTGGATCCACTGAAATACACTGCTGAGGGGAAGCAGCAGGTGTGTCAGGAGAGGTCTGCTGTGCCATGTGGGTTAGCTCCTTAGCCAGAGATGGAACTCATGCTACAGTGGCTGGAGATAGCTTGATAGCACTGAGACTTTAACCC